ATTGTGGAAAAAGCAGTTCTTTGAAGGAGAGAGGAAATGCCTCAGTCCCACATTTTGTGCGGAGCAGCAAATGTGACTCAAATATTCTTCACGATGTTTCTGCTTATAGATATAACCTAGCTGCCTTACAGGACAGGATGTGTCCACTTCGGGGTATGCGTGTGTGAGTGACCTACGATACGAGAGTCCTCGCCTCTTCCAGGCCGTGAGAGAGGGAATAAATACAGACTTGGCAGCCACCTCACAGAGGCTGCTGACACCTGCTCAGGGCAAATCCCAGGGCAATGTGCTTTCCATCTTCATTGCATGTTCTGCACGAAGGACTCAACTTTGTTTATCCTCCGTCCAGCTAAAGAGATTATATTTCATGGCCAGCTGCTTCCCTTTGAGGCAGAATTTGGCTCCTTAAATATAGTATTTGTCTAGATAAATGTTTAAGTTGTTTAACAAAAGATATAAGATCACTTTTTCTTGGTACTTTTTTTCGCTTTTCATTAGTCAAATAGGGATTGTTTATATGTTTGTTGGCAATTTTTTTGTTTTGTTTCCACCCCCCAGAACAATATTAAAAGAGGATTTGATTTCTGCAAAAGGAATTCCTTCTCCTTTATCGTTACTCAGAGCTCTCTCTTCCTGAGGTTGGGACTCTTATCATAATAGGTCTGGCGCCATTGGCTTTCATTTAACGTAAATATTCTCAAATATTCTCAACTAATTTGGAGAGAGCTCTGTTTCCTTCTGGTGTGTTTCCTTTTGCTGCTACGGAGTACTTTCCATACTCCCTTCTCTCACTCTAGCCTTGTGTGCTTAGAATTCAAAGTTTAAGTTGCAATGAAAAATCTTAAATATATCTGCTTAAAGCGCTGTAAACATCTCCCCAAGCCCTGCAGTGGATGCTCATACTGTCCACTGCAGTGCGTCGCACCCAGTCTGCATTCTGTCTTGCTTGTTAGTTGAACAAAAAAGATGTAAATAGTTTTGAATTATCCGTGTTAACATCCCCAAATCAAAGATGGATTGTAACACCGACTTTTCTCATCAACCTCCTATTATGGATTATTGTATTGTCTATGCTGCTCATTTTCACTGAGCCCTAACCCTCCACTGTAGGCTGGATCCTCATCAGTGCAGTGGACTCAGATGTGACAAAGCTTCAGACCATTTCATTATGGCCAGCTTGCCTGGGTTTCACATAAAAAGGGAGCTGGAAAGTGCCAATCCCTGCAGATTGGAAAGCAGCTACCACCAACTAAGCTAAATGAGACACCTCTAATTTTTTTTGGCACGACTGAGACTGATGAGGCCCCAGCTGTGCTGTGGGAAGGCACAGCAGAGTGGCTGTATCAGTATCTGGAGTCAGGCTGTTTAGGTGCAGGACCCAGATAGTCCCGGTTCCCAGATATTGCTGTGTACTCTTGGGCAAGTTATTTAACATCTCTAAGCCTCGGTTTCCTTGCTTGTGAAATAGAGATGATAATAGTATCTAACTCACAGGGTTGATGTGAGGATTAAATGAGCTCATTCTATGAAAGTACATGGGACAAGGTCTGGGCATCAAACAAACACTCAATGAACATCATTTGTTAAGTCCTGTCTGCCTTCTAACTATTCCTTGACTCCGAACTCCTAAAGCTCTTGGAATTTGAAATGTTCTCTTTGGCATTTGATCATGCATGAATTTCTTCATCACTATCTATCGGGGCAATTTTAATCCCCCTTTGATTGCTGAATGTGGCTTAAATCGTGTTTAAGAGAGCAGACTGTCTGTTTCAGTGCTGTTTACAGTTAAACTGACCTCCGATAAATCCTTAAATCAAAGCTCTAAGTCAATACTAAGAAAGCTAAAGGAATATTGTGTTCTATCAGTGAGAAAACATGTACAGCTTATAGAAGGTCTGTTTTATCCCTCATTGCTAGCGTATGGGGTTTAATGATGGGAATCTGCATGTTCAGAATTGCCCTGATAACAAGAGGCAGGCAGAGGAGGGTAGATATGATGGTGGGGTGTGTGGGGGTGGGGGTGGGGATGGTGTCTAGAAACCTTGCATTATATGAGAAATGGTTGAAAGAACTGACGGTGCCATGGATATGAATTTCTCTCTGTCTTTGATGTTAGGTGCTGTTAGAGAGGTTTGCCGCTTTCAGAAGCTTTAATGTGAATCCCCGAGCCTGAATTGGGGTAGTTACTAATAAGAGTCACCACACTTTAATAGCCCTTACCCTTGAAGCGACTACAGCTTTTTTCTAGGTTAGCTTTATCATCCTTCTCATTTTCTTTGCTTAAATAGTTTTTCCTAGAGGCTCCTTAGTCTTTGCTCAACTGAATTTCTTGAGGGAGTGCCTATTAATTTTCCAGAAGGCATCGGCATTGCTGAATCCTGAATCAAACTCATTTCATACTCTGCTCCCCGAGACTAGGCAGGCTCCGCAGCAATGGAATAGAAAGTTGAAACTAACGAACTGCAGGTAGCCAAGGGCAAGGATTCTTGGTTAGCAAGAGGGAACTGGGTGGGACCGACTGGTTCCAAAGCTCTAAGCTCTCGAGGAGTGTGCTCTGGGTTTGAAGACCCCCTGCTGCCAACCCTAACCTCCATTAGATTAGACCACCCTGCACTTTGGGGATTCTCTCTCTCAAATGATTTTTTTTGCCTCTTCATTTAGTTTCAGCTCCCAGTGCAAGTAAGAGTGTGGTTAATCTACAAAATGTTGAAAAAAAAATTGCCATATTGATGTTATATTTGGGTTGGGGACAGGGTATGTAAATTTATAGATCAAAACTATATATATATTATATATTGGGGTTGGGTTGAGGACAGGGTATGTAAATTTATAGATCAAAACTATACTGAAAGTGCCCTACACTGCTTTCTTTCATGATTTCACGTTTGGAATGATTGGATTTTTCACTTAAAAAGTTAATTACTTTAGTTTTATGTTTGTTTTTTTTTTCTAAAATTGGAGCTTAAGTACAATCTCAGGTTGGTATTTGCAGATCTCCCTTGAGTAGGTGCTTCTGCCTTTGTGAACCTCCTACTGCTTGGGCTACCTTTAGCTCCAGCAGCTTAGCCATGTTTGGTGTGTATGGCTCACGAAATTCACTGTTTCCTTATCACAGCTACATTCTCCATAAGCTTTTGTTTTGTTTTCCTTGCAGTAGTTAAAATACTTAAAATAGTAGGAAATCTGATGTGAATTTCAGTCTTATCTAGAAATATGTAAAACACTGGGGTGTTTTTTAGCAGCACATGGCTGTCATTTTCACCAAGCCTACATGAAAACCAACGTAATTTTGTTCCATGTTGTGTAATGTTCTCACTTGTGATTATTCCTGCAGGTTTCTCTTTTTCTTTCTTTTTTTTTTTTTTTAAATCACAACAACTGAAGGGCAACGACAGCTGCTGGAGTCACAGTTGTCAGACATTTTAGGTAGTTTTCCCCTTCCCAGGAAACAAGCCTGTGAAAAACACCAAGCTGTGTACATGTTGAGATTGCCACCCGCTGGCGAAAACAGAGAATTTCCATTTTAATGAGTAATTAAAAAAGATTGTTTTTGGTTTTCAGAGTACAAATTTGTTCATTTAGGTTCCTTAAAAAGTATGCTTCAAATCCCATTAGAGGGATAAAGAATTTCATCATTATGAACCAATTTAAAACTCTACTGGAAGAATAAAACAATCATCATTATGAAAGCATTTAAAGACCTTTATTTCCATCAAGAGCAGACTCTACAAAGGGGGAAAAGCGAAACAAAAAAATCACGAACTTAAGTATGCCAAGGTGTTATTAGTGGTTGCTGTTAAGTACTAAGATTAAAAGAGATTAAAATATTTTTTTAGTGCTGCTTTACACTTTCATTTACTTAATTCTCTTTCTTTTTTTGCTACAGAAAGCTTGTATTGCTTTAAAAAATATAAATCTGAAGAGGAAAAAAATAGCTGCATGTGCGTATATAAATTGAAATATAAGTATTCAATAATGGTGCTTTATGGAGTGCTAAAAACAAAAAAAGCAGCACCCTAAATCAGTGCCACATTTAACCCAACAGATACAAAAGAAAAAAAAGCCTGGAGCCTGAACTGCAGCTTTCATCACTCCACTAGCACAAATTTTAAATTCAAATGCATGCGGAAGAATTTATTATGTGATAAAGATACCATTTCAGACCCATGTGCAAGGATGCTTGGTTGCTTCACTTCTCTAACAAATAAATTCCAGATGTTAAAAATAAAAAATCAAATAAATTCAAAAATATACTGGCAAATATTTAGGTTAAGCAAAAAAACAAAGAAAAAATTATGCAGAAAAATATGAAGAAAAATGTAAAGGAAAACTTCTGCATTTGAAAATTACCACAAAAGCAAATAGTAAAGTGGAAAAAATATTTATAGCATACAGAAACAGCAAAATAAATAAGACATTTTTTAAAAAGGCCTGTGAGCTTCTGAATACATACTTAGATCTCATGACTAATTAATGGATTGCACATTTTTTAAAAATGAAAAATTTAGCTATAAATTTACCAAGACTTCAAATATTTTATCATGTCAATGTGTCAAAAGTATTCTGTGTTACTGAACTACTCTGCTGTTTAAAATTATTTCTTAGAAGATATATAACATAACATGGAAAAATGCTTATTTCAAATTTATATTAAAAATAGTATTAAAATAATAATGAGTTTTGTTTGTATTTGTCCAGAAGGATATTCTTCCAAAGTTTAAATAGTGTTTATCTATATTACTAGAGTTATTGATAACAATTTGCTTCTTCATTCATGTCTGTATTTTTTTAACTTTTTGTTAATAAAAATTACAAATACATAAACTGCTTTTTAACATTTAAAAAAAATTAGACTACCAAAGAATGATGAATGTTGTTTGATTAATACTTTAATAAAAATAAAAGCTATATATGTATATGCCCTTGCTTATATTTTTAAATCATGTAGGTAGATAAATATATATTTTAGAGCTGTAATTGTAGTCATTTTTTTTTTTTAGTGTCAGATAGGCAAGGTGCCCACATGGCCACAAGGATGGAGGAAGGCACCTGTCACACTTGTATGTGAACTCCTGGTCATCATGCTTATGAACTACAGAAGGATGGATGGTAATTATTTGTATGGTTACTTCCATGGTTATACATTCACTGTTATGGGTGGTGATTATAAGCTATAAGTGTCTATAGGTGATTATTTTCTTCTTCATTCATGTTTATAATTTGACTATTGATAAAAATGTGTTCAATATATGTATATATCAAAAATTCTCTTCAGAAAGATATTTAATGTTACAAAAATTCATGGAAACTTCAGTGAAAAACTAATACATGCATGCACTTTATTCACAATTTGGTAGAAACAGAAGCACATATATATTTTATTCGTACATGTATATGAATAGATCTTTAAAATATGTAAGGGTATGTTCTAAAATTTTAGTTGTGATTTTTCTATAGTACTATAAATATAGCAGATGGGATTTCCCTTTATCCTTTTCTACCTTTTTCATCAGAAACAATGAAATCTACATATATATATCAAATATATACATCAAATTATATACATTAAATATGTATGCAATTTATTGTGTCCATAATACCTCACTAAAGCTGTTACATAGTGCCATCCAATCAAAAAGCTTTCATCAATTCTTTCTGAAAAGAAAACGAAGAGTTAAAAAAATGCAGAGTGTTCACCTTTTTACTGTTCAGTATTCATTTTATCCCATTTGTAGGATACCCAAAACATTGAAAAATATTTCTTTGCTGGCATTTGGCACAGTAATGAATCAGCATTTTAAATCTGGATCTGCACATTCTTAACAAGAGTGGGAGGGTGAAGAGAGAGGAGTAGAATACTTTACTTACCAAGATATGTTAGTCCCTAAAAAGAAGTGAATATCATCCAAGGAACTAAATTCTTTGTGGAAACATTCAACTATTCTTTTTTTTTTTTTTTTATTACAAGATGGTGATTTCTTATGATTAAAAAACTTAAGCAAGCAATCAAACATGATGTGAAGATTCCGATATTTGTTCAGATATTAGTTTCCCATTAACACATTCTGCGCTTCAGCAGTAATTTTATTGATTATGTGAACTGTTAAATAGTTCATCTGCAAAGCAAACGTAACTTTAAAATTAAAAACTGACATCAATTTATTTCCCTCAAGCAACTTCAGAACCAAATTAAACAAATCACTTTGATTTGAGACAGCCAGCCTTTCCTGATAAAGCTTTCAAATATCCAGCATGTTTAAAAGTGTGCCGCTAGGATCATGAAAGATAATACTCAACAAAGAATGACAGTCTCAATCATTTTTTAATAAAGGAAAATCTACAGCTCTCCTGTGCAGCTGCACACCGCTTGACTGGTGGGCGATACTAATATGTGTTCAGAGATACAATGATGTATCTGTTTGTTTCACTGAGCTGTGGAGACCTCTGGCACAGATGCTCTCCTATGACAGCTGGTTGTATAGTTTGTTCTGTCTTACTTGCAAAGCTCACACTCTAAAACCCAAGCAGTTAATTTTAAAATACTAATGCATAGCACCTTCCTAAAGAATGATAGAAATACTCATCTCTCAGAGGCATGCCATGTGTTGATTATAATAACAATTGCTTAATTATTTATTAGTAGTTGCTTTATAAATTACTCACTGTGGTCTTGCTGGAGGGCATAAACTGTGAGATGGGAGAAGAGAGCTAAGAGCTGAAATAGTCAGGGGACGCCTTGTAGTAAGGGTTTCTCTTACTACACAGATGCCTTTTGACTTTATCCTGTTAAGTGCTGTGGAAACAGAAATCTTTTAACAGGGGATTGAAAGGTCAGATCTGTGTTTTCTCTGTGTAATGGAAGATGGATTTGAGGGGGATGAGAAAAGAGGCAGGTAGTAGTTAAGATAAAAGAGCGTGAAAGCCTAGAGTAAAAAAGTTGCAGTACAGAGCGGCGCCTGTGGCTCACTGGGCAGGGCACCGGCCCCATATACCGAGGATGGTGGAGTCGAACCTGGCCCTGGCCAAACTGCAACAAAAAATAGCTGGGTGTTGTGGTGTGCGCCTGTGGTCCCAGCTGCTTGGGAGGCTGAAGCAAGAGAATCACCTAAGCCCAAAGCTGGAGGTTGCTGTAAGCTGTGATGCCATAGCACTCTACGGAGGGCGACAAAGTGAGACTCTGTCTCTTAAAAAAAAAAAAAGTTGCAGTATAGCTGCAAAAGAAGGGAAGCAGTCCTGGAACAAGGGCTAAAGAAGGTAAAGCATGTAGGAAAAAGGGTTGGGGGTTTGATAATTGACTGGATATGAGAGCCAGAGATAAAGGAGAGGAAGGAACGGAGTTCCCAGCTTGGTATAATTGGGCATATTAACACCCTTAACCGATCCTGAAATCACAGGTGCTCAGGCCCAGGAGAAGGGGAAACATAATCGGCTGATTGACCTACTTTTCCTAATGGATACTTTCAGATACTCAGAAATTTTACAAGAGCCAATTGTATGGACAAACATACAATATACAATGACAGTAAAATTATAGGCAAAGTCCTCCAAATAAATCACAAAAGGCCAGGAAAACATAAGAACCTTTTTATGAAGCTGATCTCAGGCACATGGGCAAAGAGAAAACAATTAGATTGTATTAATTGTATTTGTTACGTTGCAATGGGAATGGTTTTACTAGCTGTGATAATGAGCTCTGTTATGACGGGCATTCTCCTTACATCTCACCTATTAATTCACTAGAATGGGGTTTTATTTTTTTCCTTTTACAAAGGAAATATACAATAAGATCAAATAAATTTTGATGATTGCCAACAGATGGCGAGGGGCTCAACTTCAGGACCATCTGATCTTTTGCTTTTCAGTTCTTTCCGGCTGTTCTTTCTACTTAATTACCTTCCCCTCACTTCTTAATCCCTTCCATGTAATTCTACACCGAGATTGGGTCTCGCACTCTCTATTAATTTTCTACAGACTACACTGCTTTCTGATAAGATATTCGTTCTTTGTAGCCACGCTGCTAATGGATCTAAACGGTCTGGTTTTAGCAGAACCTTTCAATCCTACTTGAACCGTGTCTTTGCTTGATTTATTAATTCCAGTTTAATGCTGAGAATTTAAAACTTAACTCTTACAATTTAATCTCATTTCACATCTGACACCATAGATCAACTACCAGTGATTTTACATAATCGAAGAACTATTTTAACTGACCTGTCTTTTAAATCCTTCCCTGTGAGACATTTATGTTTTTCAATCATTAAAACAGACTTACCAGAGTGAGATATGTGTGTCAGTAAGAGATTTCCTTCATTACATGAATGCACCTATGCATCTTTTATGAATGAAGCAGAGAAAGTATTGCCGTAATGGGTATTTTTAATAATATTCCAAGGAAGCACAAGGAATTTATGGAAGCTCAGAAAGCACCTCCTATGGCAGTTTTCCATAGATTTGATATGTATATTTATATAATTCATATCTAGATAAAACCTTCTTTTTTCCTTGACAAGTACCTTTTAATGTCCAATTCAATCTAGGGATGCTATTCCCATGTCTTTCCCCATAGTCCCTAATGACATCGCTTTCCTAACTAATAGAATTCTGTTGATTGAAACATCCTGCATCATAGATGTGTTTTCATATTTCTGTCGTGTTTAGCAGTAATTTGTTTAACTAAGTGTTTCCTCTTCTGAAGCAGAAATTGCACATCAAAAATTACATATTGTTCTTTCTCTGTATTGATTGCATTTGTAAATAATTAAAGCTCCGTTTTAAAGATATCATCTGTGTTTTGTGAGTGTTATTTAAAATTAATCACAGTTTCTTTTTCTGGTAGTAAAAGCAATATATGTTTATTTAATTTTTTTTGAAAAATACAGAAATGTAAAAGAAAAAGAGCCCTCAACAATACCCAGCATCTCACTATTAATGGCTATTAATATTTTGCATGTCCCTTCTGGATTCTTATGCCCATCCATATAAAATAAACATTTGTAAACAAACTCGGACTTGTATATAATGATTTACATAGACGATCACTGCGCACATTTAACTTAGGGGAATGTTACTCTGGGTGTATGTGAGAGATAACATATTTAAATAGATTTTCAAAATTCCCCTTCATTTATCTCAGGAGTGTCTCCTTTGGAATAAACAAGAGATGGGAGAACAGTAATTTGCCGTTTCCTCAATTAGTTCCAGTTTCTGCGTGTTTATTATAGAATGTGCATCTCGCTACAGTGACTATGATTTTGACAGTAAAAATACATATTTTTCTTACAATGTGAAATCTCAAGCTAACAGCTTTGATGCTCAATCACAGAAACGGCTATTTATTCTAACACTAAAAGAAAAACGGCCGAAGCTATGATGTTTGGTCTCTAACCTGGAGATTTTCAAGGTAATGTTGACTACAAACAAAATTTTTTTTTTCATTAGGTGCTGGTTTTATAACCTAACTTCTACATGAGGTGTAAAGCCCACTGTAATCCACTTTTTTTTTTTTTTTAGTATAGTTACTATTTTTCTCTATATTATTAAGTGGACTTTGAGAACATTTCTAAACAACTGTATTGAAATCCATCATATGGATGTGATATAGCTACTTTAACCAATTGACTATTATTAGACATTTGGTTAATTTCCAATGTTTCATTATAAATAAAGCCATGGCAACTGTTGTGTCTGAGATATGATATGAGGGTCAGTCGTTATTTTTGCAAATATACTTAATGTTGTTGTATCTCTTTCAGGCATTTTTATGCTCTTACACGCAGCCGATAAGATGTAGAAAGAAGGAGTGCATGACCTTGCTATAAGTAATTGAGGCTTGTCTTCAATGGAAGGCAATAAACCATGAATTTTTTAATATAACCTTTTGGTGTTTTTTGTAGACTCCTTGCCATGGCACCTGTTCAGAGGGCTCGACTGGCACACAGTCATGTGAGACAGTTCACAGAGGGTGCTTGCTGCGGTTTTTTGAGAGCTGCAGTGTTCTAGTTCTTCTGTCAGCTTTGTGCTGCAAATAGCCGTGGCATTTCCCAAAGTTAGAAGACGTCTGTGATTCACGTGCTTGTTCTTCAAAGCTGCATAGCTCTCCCTCCA